GCTGAAATGTGTGAAATCATTTGTCTCTGAGACACTATCTCACTCCTTCTGTAGACAGCAGAGGTTCTGTAATTGGATTTCCCTCTTTAAAGAAGAAGAGAGTTGTTGGCAGGATGTTCAGTGCAAGGGCATCAAGACTCAGGATCCTGCTATCTCAACTTGGCTCCAATTTGTTGGAATTTGGCAACTTTTTGAAGAAATGACATCTGTTAAAGAGTTTTCTTGGAGGGAGCTGAGGATATTTTTGCTAATTGATGAAAAGGATACATGAATTGCTATGGGACTGGTTGGTCTATTGATGATGAGATTTTATCACGTATTTATGTCAGGAAAAAATTAGGCAAACCAGTTGGCCAGAACTTTGTGACAGTGACAGCCTCCAAAGTGGGACTTGATGTAGTGGAAGTAGGGTAGAGATTAAAGTGGAGCTGACTGAACCAACCTGCTCTCCAGTGCTCTGGGGAGCAAAAGGTGTTGGGAAGGTCTCCTACTCCAGTGCAAAACTTAGATACACAGATCTGTGAAGAAAAGGACTGTACCAGTTCCAGGCTGCTTAAGTTGCTGTGGAAAGGCAAAGTTCGAAGAACTTCGCAAAAGTTGTTTAACCCTTTGATTGGACTTTCATTAACATGTGCTGACTGGCTGTGTAATACAAACCAATTACAAGTTAATACAATTCTGAGCTATTCCTTTCCACTCCTGACCTCATCTCTCAGAGTCTCCCCAACTCATCTTTTTCTGGTTTTTGTTCCTCTTTAGTCTTTTGCTTTACTTCTTTCCCATTTTTCAGTTCCCTTGGCACACTGAAAAGAAGAAAATAACAATAAAAAGTTGTGGAACAAGATGTAGTGCCATCCCATTATCTTGTGTTCTGCTGCTAGTTTCTCACACCGCATATGTCCTACAATTGCATGTCTACAATTTAGGTTGTAGAAATTCGGGCAGCAACTGATATTCACTGGTAGTTTATAGTGTCTACAAATGCATCTAAAGCTAATTAAATCTAAAGATTAAAATACTAGAACAATATCTTGTATGATTGAAGATGGAAGAGCCCCAGGGATCCAAAAAATATGTTTTATATGGTTTTATTTTATTTATTGAAATAAAAAAAGTACTTGGAACAGCTGCCTTCAGCCTGTGCCTTGAGAGGTGATGCACAGTTGTGTGGTAACAGAGGGACTTCCAGAACAGTTCCACAATACTTTGCCAGAGGGGCAAGAATTTTATGTTCTCTGGATTTCTACCTTCTCCTTTCTGTGCGTTTTCCTGTTTTTAATTGGTACTAAATTGGTCAACTGTACTGGATAAATTATTAATCATGGTTTATGAGACAAATTTAATACTGAAAAGGAAAGGATGATACTTTCAAGTGTGAAATAGTCTAGATGTAGGTTTTTGACCCGAGAAGAGTTGTATTCTCAAGTCCTGTGCCGAGTCAAAGGATTTGATCACCACAGACAAGACTGTCACAAGACTTTTTTTTTTCCCCATTCTTAGGAAAATACATTTCAAAGGTCTTTTTATCTCACCTCAGTAGGGAAGGGGCTTTTAAAAATAGAAGAAGTTTCACATATTTCACACCGTCTTTGGGTTAAACTTTGGTAACATTCTGTTTTGTCTATAGGAAGAATGGAGAATTAGATCTTCGGCAATAAGATCTTAAAGTTTAAATATGTGCATTCTTTTGCCACAGATTATATGTTGTATGTTATAGCTTTTTTGTGTGTGTGATTCATTAGTTTAGGAAGAAAACGACTTGGCTATTTTATGTCAAAACTAAAAAGGAAATTTGTGTTTTGCATGTAGCAATGTAAAGACATCTACAACTTGTTTTCATTCTTGGCACAGTTCACTTACTTTGATTCTGTATATCAGGACTGTGCCTTCACAGTTTGTTCACAAGCAAGGCCTAAGCTTCTCCAACATTTTATATTTATCTTCTCCGTTCAGAACCGGAAAACCTGTTGGATTACAATGGGGATTAAGTCTTTGGCACTTTTCATATGGCTTGCCAAAGAAGAAAGGCTGCTGAATCCAGGGCTCTGAAATGTGGCCTGTTGAGATCCTGACAGGGGTGCCATCCCCCGAGCTTTCTTCCAGCCTTCTCTTGCAGTTCTGCAGCTCCTCTACACACCTGCCCCATGTACTTGTATCTGAGTAACTCCGTTTATTTATTTTGGCTTTCCATCAGCAGTTTAGGCCTCAGGTAAATTCTCTGATCTCTTGTTAAGCCAATATTTATTTAAATATTTATTTAAATTCTAGCAGATGAAACTTTAAATTCAAAACCTTTTCAAATCCTCCCTTTAGAGAGGTCTCAAATGTCTTCATAACTTCACCTGTGATCTCTTGAATACCGTGTGTTGCTAAGAATATTATTTAATTTTTGAGGTGAAATGGCAAAAAGAAAAGAAATCTACTTCTCCTAAAAAGACAGCTTGAAATACTGTATTAATGAAATTCTGGTTTTATTCCACAGACTGAATTTTTTATATTTAATCTTTTTGTGCTCTGTGCAAGTAAGCAAAATTCTCTTCTGTTCTTTTACATTAAAAAGAGTTGGTGGATTGCAGACTATATAATAGAGTAAAAGTACTTAGGGGCAAAATATCTGCATATTAGAACTTTCCAACAAACAAATTTCGGCATTCTAGCATTTTTCTGGCATTTTTCTAGCATTCTTCAGTGCTCTTCTGTGCTCTGGAGTACAAAATGTTGCATTCATACTCATTTCAGTGGTTGCATGTGGTAAGAATTGTGATAGTAAACTTCTGATACCTCATAGACAATGGGGATTATACCTGTTGTAAGTGAATAAAAATAAATTTATTTGAGAGAAGGTGCTGGGATTTTTGATGTCAAATTTGACTTAAGCTTCCAGTAAGTGTGTTGGATTTATACTGTCTTTAAAAACAAGTACTGCTTTTTAATTAATTTAAATTATGCTTTTTTATGCTTCTTTTATCAAGCACTTTCCTCTTAGATGTGATTTGCAGAGTCAATGCACCTGCTGATTTTGTTGGAGTTTTGGTTTTGGTTTTTTTTTTTTCCACAATGAATAGCACTGGCTTTTGTAAGACTAGGGAGAAAGAGGATTATGTATTAGTTAGGAAGGAGTCTTGGAGATGCACATGTGTGCATTTTATGTATGTATGTGAGTGTAATCTATATACATGTATTAACAATATATATATATATATATATAAACATAGTGAGATAGTCAGAGCATAGCATATTAAGAAAGTATTTCCCCCATTGATTTAACTGTATATTTTGCTATTGGTCCAGATAATGTTATTTACAGTGGAGCATTATGAGTGTTCCTGGAAAGATGGGAACTGTTCAGTTCCCATTAGCTGTAACTATTTTTTGCCATATACATACTCTTTTGCTCTCCAAACAATAATCAAAATAAAATTCAAATTTTACTGATTCTTCTGAGCAGTCTGAATACACAGCTTGCACACTTCAATTATTTCCATAACACCTTTAAGTAGAAATTAAACCAAGATGTACTACAGGAGGCTGCATAACACAGTGCAGGGCAGCTGCCTGACACTGCACTGTGCAATCTTACCTTGTATTTTAGTACATTAAGGGGATGCTTTCAAGTGCAAAACTTAAAATGATGTGTTAAATTGTATTAGTATCTGGCCTTATCCCTTAAAGATTAGCCAGATCGGAACTGAAAACATGAAATTGCAAATACCTGCAACACTGGCTGCTGAGCAAAACAGTGGCAGCATTCTCAGCCATAGTCAAATGTTCTTAAAGTATCTGACACCTTTGGAGTTGTCAGGCAGACTATATGTTTGAAAAATCATAGAATTCCAATTTTCAGTTTTAAAAATAGTTATTTCTTTAAACTGAATAAATACTTTTGAGCTTATGCTTCTGTCAGTCAACAAAAATGCAAAGGATTAACATCTTCAGCTAAAATACTGCAGAAATAAATCTTTAAAAAGACTGGTGGTTGCAATCAATACCCAAGCAGTTTAGGTGACAGGTACCCACTATCTAATTGATATAAATGGTTTTTTTGTTTTGTATCGTGTTTTGCTAATTCCTTTGCTTCCTGCCTGTGAAGGTGTTGGTCGAAGTGTTCCACTGGGGACGTGTCTACTGTTTGTACAATCTCCATGACTGATATGGATGTAATGAGGCTTTTTCCTGTTTCATAGTTCTTGTAGTCATTCCCCTGACCATGGGCTCTATGAGCACATTCAGACTCCTTATGAAAAACAGTTCTGCCAGCTGAATGGCAGGAAGCTTATGAGTTTGTTTGCTGGGCTTCTCTGGATGTATAAACCAGTTGCTGCAGCTCTAAAAATGATATGACTGGTGCAGTAGTGATTTTCTGCACTGAAGGTGGATGCTGACAGGAATTATGTACTGCAGATATTTTAGTGAACTCTGAAAAGACCGTGCTGTAATACAACACTCCCAAACACAGAATTCTGTGATTCTGATGTCTTCTAGCATGTGATTTTCTCTCCCTCATTACTTTTGTCGAATTATATCAGTGGGAAACCAGTTTATATGACTGTGCTTTGCCTTGTAACAAGGAATTGTTTTCCCTTGTATAATTTAATATATTTTGGCTCTAGAGCATACCTCAGTTTCCTGCATTTATTTGATATATGCGTTGGGGAGGAGCACGAGGGGCACAGGAAGCACGTGTGCTGCAAAGGTTAGGACTGAACTGAAAATCTTTTGTGCCAGCTAGCAGCTACTTAGGCAGCTGCCTAGTGGGATTTCTTCTGATTCTAAATGTTCTCTGTAATTGCTAATACTGCCAAGGGGAAACTAATGTTTTTTATTTAGTGATCACTACCTATTCTGGGATGAGTTTAAAAATGCTACAAGGGAGTATTAATAGCTTTTCTCTGAAAATAGTACATGCTTCCTGAAATTGAAAAGTAAGCCTCTCGTAGTCACTCTAGTACAAACACATCATGAGAAATTCTCACTTAAAAAGCTCTTTTGCTCTTGTTCAGTGTTTGTCAGGTTCAACTCCAGCCATGGCTTCCCGGTGGAGGTTGGTTCGGATGCCAGCATCCTCCAGCTGAAGGAGGCAGTTGCCCAGCGACAGGGAGTTCCAGCCGACCAGCTGCGGGTGATTTTTGCAGGGAGGGAGCTCAGCAATGACTTGACACTGCAGGTAAGAATCCCTTGGTAGCTTCTCTCCTGGACTGCTGCCAGCTACACTGCCTCTGCCTCTAATGCTGCCAATCTGATGTTCATGCCTGAGATCTAATAGAATAAATAGTGCCTGGGGATTCCTTGAACTTTACTCCACACTGCTTCATTAATTCTGACCTTCTTAATTATGCATTAAAACAGCAAGCAGGAAGGGTAGGGAAAGAGAGAGAATATGAGAGAGAGAGCACGAGAGAGAGCTGTGCCTAGTGAATAAATGTTTACTGACTACAGAAGCAAACCATGCACAATTTCTGTGTCTGTTCAATTTCTATCTTACTTATTCCATTTGAATCTTAATGAAGAAGGATGTGAATAAATTGCTCTAAATCAAGCTGCACAGTCATCACATTTGATAGAATTTGTAACCCAATTGTGACCCCTGGAGGATAGCTACAGGGCTGCTGCTGCTCCATGTGCTGCTGTGTCTGCACAGGTGTGTGCTGCTGGAGGGGTGGTTCCAGATCAGAAAGCCCACAGAAGTGTATTCTAAACCACTGAACTCATGAACGAGTAAAGCTGAAAGAGGAGCAGAGAGCACAGAAGAGCAGCTGTAAGTAGGTGTCTTAAATTCAGCTTCTGAAAGTTAGGGAACTGTCCTCTTCAATAAATGCAAAGGGCTGTTCATCTGTGGTGAGCAGTAGTAAGCATTCAAAGACAGGTTCAACTTGCTCTTTGCTATCTCCACCAGTGCAGCCACACTTACTTTATAAATATTTTTGTTTATCCTGTATGTGCATTTGGCAGTTCACTCTCATAGGCAGGGTTTAGCATAAGATCACACATTTAAGACAATTGGGAAACTTGGGGAAACCTACTGGCCTTTCAACTGAGTGCAAATACTGATTTAATGAAATTGCTGTCCTTCTGCAGTGGTATCAAAGAGCTGCAGATGCAATCTGTAGTAGTGCAGGTGATTGTACAAGGGATCCCTCCCTGGCAGAACTATTCAGATTAATTGGCACTCATACTTCAGATGTATTACTGTACTTAGAATGGCTGCTAAGCCTGGGTACAGAAAGTCACTGGTGTATTGATGACCAATCACTGTTTCTCCTTAGGTAGGATATTTATTGTTTTGTGAAGGGAGTTTCAGCACACAAAGGTATAGAAATGTGAATTGTCAGTCTCCAGTGCATCAGCTGTGAAAGTGTTGATGCGTGCATGCATGGCATATACATCGGTGTGCTTCACTTATATGTGAAAACACATATACGACAGAGTAAGAATAAAATAAAAAAATCATGTGAATTGTAGAAGTTGTCAGTTGCCAGTTGCTAGATTTGGGGGTCTGTGTTGTTCTATCAGAAGCTTCTGAATCACTTGGCTTTTCCTCGGAAGCTGTAGGTGTTGGTATTACTACCATTTTATATCAGCATGAAACACAGGTATTCAACCCAGTTTGACACTTGCAACCATGTTTGTTGTGGGCTACAACATACGGTCTGTAGCCAGGGTAAATTAAAAATTGTGTTCCAGATATACAGACCTGCTGATTGCTTAATTTCATTGGAATGTCAGAATTACCATGTGTAGTCAAGACTTTCTGTTATTTGGTAAACTGGATGTAGACATTATTGCTTTGACTCTTGCCTTCTAAAGCAGATAGGAAGTTCAAAAGCTGTTTCAGGTGGTATAATCCATACTTCTGTGTTTAGGTTTCTTAAATATTGCAATGATTAATATCATTGGCAGTGTATCAACTACATTCTTATTCTTGATATTTGATTAGGTGTATTCTTCCTTTGCTTCCATGTTTGCATTTTTTTCTGTTGTATATTAGTATATGTAAATTTATTTTTGAAATTTGTCAGCACGAACAAATGAGCTGAGTATTTGAGGTGTTTGGGTTCCTATGGCAGGCTATTTGGTTTTTTTACATAAGAAGCTGAATGCTAATAAAGCTTGGGTACTAGTGAAATACTAACTGCTGGCATTTATGTCGCATCTATAATTTCAGAGTTAATATCACATATGAGCAAATTAACTAGTACTTGTTTTCTAGACCCATGGATTTGCATCAGAACAAGAAAATATAATATTAGTTTGTACTCAGCTGATGCTTTATTTTGTTATATGATAACATAGACTTTCTATTAGGACCATTTTGTACTTCTGTTTTTCTTAAATTACTTTTGAACTGTTTTACCCAAAATACTGTGGAAGACTAGAGGTCAGGAAGGAGAACTGATGGAATTACAGATAATCAGATTATAGAGGACCTGGGAAAAGCTGCAATAATTGCATAAGTATGGGCAGGGATATAGGAAATACTCCAGGATAGCAAACTTAACTGGTTTCACAGCTCACACAACAACTAGATTTGGCTTGACAGCTACTTCAGTATCTCAGATAGCTGGTACAAAACATAACTGAGAATGTGAAAGCTGTGTTTGTTTTCCTGTTTGGAGAGACGGAAAAATCTTTCCTGGTAGCTGAAACTTGTGAAAAAGAAATGAAGCTTTGGAATGGACAGAAATTAAAGAGAAATTATTATAAGAACGAAAGGGCCAAGCTGAGATCTTAAAAAAGTAATTTGATATCAAGAACAACAATAAAATATTGTAGGAAGGATAGAAGTGAAATATGTGGGGAGACATTTAATTTGGTACTGCAGATAAGTATTTTGTCCTTGAAAAAAGAGAGGAAGATTAGACACCGATTCAACTGTGCACAGAGGAGATCAGTATCTAAGCTAATGACTAAGGCACACATCATAAAATTAGAGCCATGTTAAGGAAATATTGGTAATGACTGGATGAAGAATGGAACCTGCAAATTTGAATCTCATAGGAAGGAATTAGAGCAATAAGCTGCTTCCTAAAAGTGTAGCAAATGGTGTAATTTTAAGGGTGCTAAACATTTCAATGATGAAGAGCTCCCTACTGATTACAGTTCACTTTAGAATAATTGGAAGTAATTCATTAATATAGACCAAAAAATAGAAATCCTTTCAGAAGGCTGTCATGAGTATGGGAGAATAGTGGTAAGATCTTCTTGGGGCAATAATAGTGAAAGTAGAACAGAACCATAACAGAGTCACCAACAGAATAAACAGGAGGTACCTGCTTATCAGGAACATTGAAGTGTCCTGACAGGGAGTGACTGCTTACAAAATTGTCATTGCCTCCAAGAATGGCAAAATTAGTTAGCAAAGCTTCTGAAAGCCAAGTAGGTAGTATGTATTATTACACAGTTTTGCTCAATGCAAACAATTTGAAATTTACTACTGGTGATAGCAGCAGTTTTACATTAGTACAGACTTCTCATTTCTTGAAGAACTCAAAATCCCTTTGTGTGAGGAAGCTCTTCGCAAACAGTTTGCAAGAGAGATTCCCTGCCCTGCAGAGCTTACAGTGTAAATGAGTAAAGCAGACAAATGATGTGATGGGAATCAGTAGCTTAATTTGTCCATAGTCAATAGCAAAACAGGGATAGAATTAAGTCTTCTATTTCCCAGTCTTGTACCATTACAGTGTGTCCTCTATGAAGTAAATCTAGAAAAAACTGTTCTTTAAAACAGAGAAAGACTAAACATGATTAGTGCAAGGACTTGTTAGCTTTAGGGCAGTGCTCCACTGAGACAGCTTCTGAGTCAATGTTAGCTGGAATTTGACTGCAGCATAGGCTCAAGGTTTGGAGCATAGGTTTCACGTGAATTTGCATGTAACTGCATCCATCCATATAGGTGCTTGCCTAAAATGATTTATACATACATTCAAGAAACAAACAAACATGACTAGAATTTATTGTTGAACACTGATTTGTGAGCTCACAAGCTTAACTGGAAATGAGTAAAAAGGAATGGCACAACTGGAGTAGCAGCATAGATAATCATCTATACGGAGAAAGGAAGAGAAGTGTTAAGGAGCAATGGTGCTGTTTTTTAGCAGGAAGAGGTATTTGAACAACGCCACATTGCATTTCATCAAAGAAGGACCTTGTGTACTTAAATGTGTGGCAACTTTCTTACTCTAAGCACAGCTCAGTACAGCAGAGCTTCCAGCAGTTCTTATATTTCCCTGGTTCATTTTACTGAAGGTTCAAAGAAGAAACCAGGTGACACAGTGCAAAATGTGTCCCTAACCAGCAAAAAAACCCCGATGTTTAGTTATAAACCACTGAACACTAAGATTGGATTGGGTCTTTTGACAAACACAAGTACTACCTCGTGTTGCAATCTACAGTTTTATATACGGGATACCAAATCACTCACAGGAACAACTTTGATGTTCAGCAGTTTTGTGGGTTACGGAATATAGTTGAGCCAACATTTGCATACTTTAATGCTATTTGTAGAGATTTGCTTACAGACATACTGACTGAATCAATCATCGCATGTGAAATCCAAAGAGAGAAAATGATTTTATTTGTGCGTGTCTGAATCAGTATTTTTGGTCAATATTTGATCGACCTGTGGATCTTTTCTTCTTTTTAAAGCTGGAAGAGATGTGTTTTATACTTCTTCAAAATAGGAAAAGCTAGCTGAATAATTCTTAGATATATTATAGTAACAGAGGAATCTAGAGATGCCACATCTGTGGTGCCAGCTAATGTGGACTTGGCTAAATGAGAGGCTAACAGTGCCTCCCACTCTTCTTTCTTTTGATGGCTGCAGACTCACTGTGACAATAGAGAGCTGTTGAAAAAATTTTTTTCAAGACTTGTGATGGTCCTCATGGTATTATATGCCCATAATAAATGGGGAAAGTACTGTGTAGCCATATTTAGTGTTATATTAAGTCAGGGCTAGCTCAGGTCTACAGATGTTCCGTATCTCTTGAAAAGGATATATGTTGGCAGATCAAGAGCTAAATGCATTAATAGATTTGTCCTTCAAGCCTGATAACACATTTCCATTCTGACTTTAAATGCTTTCCTGTTCTATTCTTTTTATGCTACATTTTTTAATGCTACAAAAAATATTTAACTATAGCTAAATGAGGGATAAATTATCTTCAA